TCATAATGTCGACCTCCGAATGTCTCGACCCATCCCCGATGCAGGACCGGATTTTGTGGTCCTGAATCGTTTCGGACGGCCCCGAGGCCCGCCAATGGCCCACAGAGGCTGAAAGTAGCGAAAAACCCTCCATCATGACTTTTCCATGGTTCGAGGGGTCTGGGGTCAGGTCGGGTGTGTCCTCGTGCAGGCGGATTATGGCAGAAAATGAACAACAGTCGAAAAATATACAACAGAAATTGAACATCCTACCCCTGACTATTGTTTCACTATCTTTGACTATTTTTGGGTGGCCCAAAAGGGGGTCCAGCTGAAAGGGGATGGTGCGATAGATTTGGGGCAATTGTATTGCAAATGTACTGCGCAGGAGAATTGTATTGCATTGCATTGCAAATCATGCGTTGCACGGGGAAATCCAGCAATACGTCTGTGCCCCAGATTGTATTGCACGCCCCATATGTTCTGCAACCCCACACATCGATTGCACCAAATCCATTGCACCATCCCCTTGTCGCTGGACCCCCTCTGGGTCAACCCGAATATTCCTCCTGCTAAGGGGCAGGTCCGACGTGAGTCTTGGGCCCTCCGTCGCTACTCTTCCATGGCTCGAGGGGTCTGGGGTTCGGACGGGCATGTCCTCCTACAGGCAGATCATGGAAGAAACACGACCAAGAGTCGAGCAACATCCAACACAGAACAGTTAAAACATCCTCCCAATACTTGTTGACTATCTTGGAACCTTCCTCCTGCGTGGAAGACAGGCCCGATCTGAATACTGGGCCCTCGAGCCTCGCAAGCCAGGGGCCCGCCGCTCGCCCCGCGGCGACGGGGGCCCCCTGGCCGAGCCGAGCGGGGCGGCCCCCGCCGCACGGCGGGCAGTGGGCCCTCCCGCCACCTCTTGCCGTCGCCCGCACGTCCCTTCCCCGTGCATTGTTCGGTTCCGTGCGTGCTGTCTGTGTTGCTCGAGGGTCCAGGAGGGTCCTCGAGGGTTCTCGCCGAGAAAAAGTGCACCCGTCCGAGCGATGCCAAGCCATGGGATGCGGGACCCACCACAAGGGGGTGGGGGGGGGGGCGACCCCGGGCAGGGGGCCACCTCTTGCCGTCGCTCGGACGTCCATTCCCCTTTACATTGTTCGGTTCCGTGCGTGTTTTCTGTTTTGCTCGTGGGGTTTACTTCGCTCGGGAGCTCCCGAACGAAGTGAACCCCACCCTGCCCCCTGAGAAATCGTGGGGGGTAGGGGTAGGGGTCGCAGGTGGCCCCCTGCCCGGGGGGGGGGAACGAGTCCGATCCGCTGGTGCCCCGAACTGCCGCCAACAGGTGCTCCCCTAGGGGAGCGAACAATCACAGAAACAAAAACACTCGGAGGTCCGCGCAGATGTCTCGGATCCGCTCTGGAACCCCCTGGCGGCGCCTCCGGCGCCGCCTCTGGCGCGCTCCGCGCGCCAGGGAGGGGGTCCAGCGCCCATACGAGAGATCCGCGCGGACCTCGGAGTTGTTATGTTTATGTCATTATTCGTTCCCCTATTCCCGCATGCCCCTCCCATCGGCAACTATAGTGGAGGCCAGTCCACGAGAACCTGCTACAAAAAACCGAACCCTGAGACTCCAGGACGTCCATTGCTTTTTGGCGTGGGAACGTCACGCCTTCCACAGCAAAACCATCGAAGCCCAAGAAACCATGGCACCCTGGAGGCAAGCAGGATGTCTCTTGGCATGGGCCGCCACTGTGTCGGAAGCTGCCGGCGGCTGTCGGGGATCTGCTTCGGGGCGGTTCGGTGCAAAAACCGATCGAACTCCCACAGACACACACACACACACACACCCACCCACACACCCACGCACGCACGCACGCACGCACACGCACACATACACACACACGCACGCACGCACACGCACACGCACACGCACACGCACACGCACACGCACACGCACACGCACACGCACACGCACGCACACGCACACGCACACGCACACGCACACGCACACGCACACGCACACGCACACGCACACGCACACGCACACGCACACGCACACGCACACGCACACGCACACGCACACGCGCACGCGCACGCGCACGCGCACGCGCGCACCCGCACACGCACACGCACACGCACTCGCACACGCACACGCACACGCACACGCACACGCACACGCACACGCACACACGCACACGCACACGCACACGCACACGCACACGCACACGCACACGCACACACCACACACACACACACACGGGGCACACACCCCGTTTGCGGGATCCCGAGGGGGGGGGGGGGCGTGGCCTCGGTGCCGATGGCGATGGCCTCCTTGAACTGGGCACTGGCGCGGGCAGCAGGACGAAGCCAGGACGAAGACGAAGACAACATCGGGTGAGGATGAGTCGCGAATCGCTGAGATCCGGCGGCTCTGGAGGACGTCTCGGGCATCGCGGCCTTCTCAGAGCGTTCCGGCTTCTCAGAGCGTTCCGGAACGCGCTGAGAGCGTTCCGGAACGCCCTGGAACGGATTCATTCTCGTCCCAACCTCGCCAGAGGCAGAACCTGTCTTTTTGGGACCGAACGTCACGGCATTCACATAGGCCTATAGGCATACCACGACTTGCTCTCAAACTGCAGAGTGCTCAAACCAAGACCAATGCTCTTATAACATGAGACCGATGTATTAAACTAGACGGTCTCGGCGAGAAATGTTCTAGGAACATTTCGTGCAGACCACTGTAAAGAAAACTTCGGAGGTCCGTGCGGGTTTCTTGGATCTGCGCTGGACCCCACTGTCTGGGGCGCGGAGTGCGCCAGGGGGCGGCGAAAGAGGCGCCGCACAAGGGACACAGCGCCGATCAAAGACATCAGCGCGGAACTCTGAAGGCTTTTGTGTATGCCCGTTTTCTTCGACGAGAGAAGGCAGTCGATAGGACGGGACGGGGAGAAGACCGAGTGGAGATCCTCCTCCTCCTCCTCCTTCTTCGTCGTCATCAGCATCATCCTCCTCCTCCGCCTCCTCCTCCTCCTTCTCATCATTCTCCCAAAGATCAACCCGATTCTCCTCATCCTCAGGTCACCCTCTCCCTCATCGTCATTATCATCCTCATCCTCAGCCTCCTCTCCATCCTCATCCTTATCATCATCCTCATCCTGCTCGGACTCGTCGTGCTCGATTTCGTCAGCATCCTCATCCTCATCCTCATTATCCTTATTATCGTTATTATTATCCCCATGATCATCCCAACGCTCCTCATCCCTCAGGTCACCCTCTCCCTCATCATCCTCATCCTCACCATACTCTCCATCCTCATCCTCATCCTCATCCTGCTCGGACTCTTCGTATCCGTCTTCGTCAGCACCCTCATCCTCATCCTCGTCATCCACATCCTCATCCTCGTTCTCATCATCCTCGTCGTCGTCGTCCTCCTCCTCCTAATCAATCCCCCTGGGAGGGCGAGCACAGGCACCAGCAGGCAGCAAGCGCAGGGCGGCGCGCACGCAGGGCGGCGAGGCGCAGGCGATGCGGGAGAGACGCAGGGCCCGAGGCAGGATGGGAGGGGAGGGAAGGGACGAACCACGGGGCAGCACGAGGAGGGGCCGAAGAAGAGGAGGAACAGGAGGAGAAGTGGCCGATGGTGGGACCCGTCCAGGTTGCCCAGACCCGACCTGCCGACTGGACCGAACACCGCTCACGCCCCTGGGAGCGACGAGGGCAGAAGAACGGAGCAGGGCGGGGGGAGGAGGGAAGGGAGGGGAGGGGAGGAGAGGAGGAACGCGAACACGGAGGGCGAGTCGAGAGACCAGCAGCTCGAATCGGTCCCGAGACCCCTCCCCGGGTCCAAGCGCGCCAGCTCCCCGAGCAGCATCCAGCCGAGGCCACGAGGCCAACTACCGCTGCTGCCTCAACCGGCCGTTGTCGGAAGCAGGGCGGAGCGGGGTGGGACAGAACACGCAGCGCTCTGCCGTCGCGCGCGCTGGCGGCCCGCTCGGTGTCCTGCCCCGTCCCCCGAGCAGCACACCAGCGGACCCGCAGGCCGAGGGCCAGGCAGGCGCGAGCCCATCGCGCGAGAATTCCAGCACGTGCAGGCTTGCGCAGGGACCGACCGTCCCGGCATTCCGATGGGCCTACCACGAATTTGCTCTTAGAACCCCCCAAATGTGCTAATAACAAAACCGTGCTCTCAGAACACACACCCAGCGCATTGAAGCAGAACGGTCTCGGCCAACAGTCCAACATTGTTCTGAGAGCCTGTCGCGCAAACCACAACAAACATGTTGTTCTTAGAGCATCTTTTGGTGGGCCGATCGCTGTGGATGCCACGGCGATGGACCCCCTACCAATCCTATCATTGAATTTACCATGTGTTTGACATGTCGGAAGCATGTTCTACACATGTTTTAAACAGGTTCGCTACATGTTAAAGCATGTTTAGCACATGCCATAGACATCTGGAAATACTTCGGCACCATGCTCCCTCTCACAAGCCTATCGGCCTCCACAAGCCCATCGGCAACCCAGGACGCTTCCCCGCTGCTTGAACCAGGCGGCGCGCGCACCCCGGCGCGGCCGCAGGGCGGGGCGCCCCGGCCGAGGCGCGCGCCGCCTTTGGGGTGGGGCGGAGGGCCCCCGCGGAGCAGGCGCGCCAGGGGAGGGCGAGTCGAGACAGCGGCAGCTGGCCTTCGGTGGGGGGGGGCCTCCGTCGCCACGGCTCGGCGCAGCTCGGCAGGCTGGTGCGCTTGTCAGAGGCCACGCGCGAACCCCACCCCACCACCCCACGCAGCCCACGGGAGGAGGCGGGGTTCACTTCGCTCGGGACCTCCCGAACGACGCGAACCCCACCTCCCCCCTTCGATATCGTGGGGTGGTGGGGTAAGGTTCGCACGTGGCCTCCCAGTTTGGTGCCAGGGAGGGGTCCTGGGACCGATCTCGAGCTGCCGCAAGCTCAACTCGCGTTGCTCCGAGGGAGGCGGAGAGCTCGGGAGGAGCAGCCGACTGAGGCCCGCCTCGCGCCAAAGTCCTCACTCCGCGGCGTCGACCCGCCGGCGCTTGTCCCCGGGCTGCTTCCGCCACGCCCTCCCTTGCTGCGCCCTGGCGTTCCCGAAGTCCCCGATCTGCTGCGTGGCCCTCCTCGCCGCGCGCTTCTCCTCGGCCCTCTCCCCCTTCCGAGCCTGCTCCATCTCGTGCAGCGCCTCGGCCTTCCTCGCCCGCTGCGCGTCCAGCACCTCTCTCTCCCTGGCCCTCGACTCCTCCAGCGCCCTCTTCGCGCCGAGGGCTGCGCCTGCGGCGGCCCGCTTGGCCTCCTCCAGCTCCTTCAGCCTGTCGCGGCCCTCCCGCTCCAGCTCCAAGAGCTTCACGGTGCGGATGGCCGCGGCCCGCTTCTCCTCATCCGTGGCGGGGGTGGATCCCTATCCACAGCATGGGGAGCCGACGTCCTGGGACCCCAGCGGGCGGCGGATCCGGATATAGTGCGGCCCCGCAGGGCCGGAATGATTTGTGGATGTCCAGCGCCTGCCGAGGTCCCCGAAGATCGATTCCCCGGGCGGCGAATGTGGATGGTGGACCCCCGCCTCGGACCTTCGCCTCCGCGACGCCGCGTATCACCTGCTTCCTGCTCAGCTGGGACGCCCGCAACTTCTGCAGTGCCTGCGCCTCCTTGAGCTTCGCTGCCTCCACAGCCGCGGCCGCCTCCTCCGCCTCGCGCCTGAGCTCTTCGTTGTCCTGGAACAGCCGCTTCGTGCAATCCTCGACGGACGACTCGCACAAGACCACCGCGGCCTTGGCCTCGGCAATCACCTCGTCGATGTCGCGGTCGCCGACCTCAGCGACGAGCCGCGCGCGGATGTCCGCCCTGCCCCTCGGGTTCCGCGGCGCGGGCAGCTCCGCGCCGCCCCCGCCTGCGATGGCGAGAGCTGCCCGGGCTGCTGCCTTGGCCCTGCCCTTTGCCTTCGTCTTGCCCTTGCCCCTGCCCTAGAAGAATAAACAAGCACCGTAAACATAACCTTTGGCGCTCTTCGCGGATTCCTTGGATTCGCGCCAGGGGCGGCGCCAGAGGCGCCGCCCGGGGGGCCAAAAGGTACCCACACCGCCACTCCCCGGACCTCTCCTTGGGTGCGTTCTGACCAGCATTTCGAAGCGAATCCAGCAGTGGCGACGAGGGCCTCCGAGGAGGCCCAAAACGGGGAAAACGAGCAAAGGGAAGAAGTAAGGGCACCCTTTTCTCTTCCGAGTGTATGTTTATGGCGCTCTGTTCTTCTTCGATGCCCTTCGCCTTGCCCCTGCCCCTGCCCTGGCCCTGCGCCCTGCGCTCGCCCTGGCCGCCGCCGCTCCCCGCGGGCCGCGCGGGCCCCTCGGCGAGCTCGGCCGGTGCCGCGGCGGGCCGCGGACCGCTGGGGCCCTCGCCGCCGTCGGGGGCGGCGGCGGCGGGCACGAGGGCCTCGCAGGGAGGGCCCAGGATCGAATCGATCGTATGGGCGATCAGGAGGAGGAGGAGGAGGAGGAGGAGGAGGAGGAGGAGCAGGAGGAGGAGGAGGAGGAGGAGGAGGAGGAGGAGGAGGAGGAGGACGAGGGGGCGGAGGGGGCGGAGGAGGCGGAGGAGGAGGAGGCGGAGGAGGAGGAGCATGGCTCCTGATGCGACCGCCGTTGCCGCTCGCAATGGATCGGATCGGTGGACATCGGCAGCCGAGTCGGGAAGAGTCGAATCGGCAGACATCGGCAGGCTAGTAGGCCTCCCTTGAGAAACGGATCCCAAATCGGAATCCGAAGTCGAATCGAATCGGACTCGGAACCCATCGAAATCGAATCGAATCAAATCGGAGGAGTCGTTTCCTCGTCCTCGGCGAGCTCCGCCATTGGCGCTGCTCCACCAGGGCGCGAGGTCGAGCGATGGTTGACGCTGAAACGGCTTGAGCCAAACGGACGACGATCGACTAACGCGTCTTGCGCAAGAGGACCTGGCGACCCTACGCGGTGGCTTACGCGGGCCGCCCGCGCGGCACGCTGCGCTTGAAGCAAGGGCGCTTAGGCGCGAGCTTAGGTGGGCAACTTACGCGCTGATGTCGGCGCAAACGACTCCATTTTTCAGCGTCGCTCATATGGCCGCGAAATGCGGTGGGGACACCCAAGAACAACACGGCCTGGGACCCTAGCATCTCGAGGGATGCGTCCGGCATCCGACTGAAGGAGGCTCGAGCAGTCGACGGCGGCGGCAATGGGCGACAACATCTTGACAGCAATAAACGATGCCGATCCGTTTCACTCTCAAATCCTCAGCGCCAAAACGGCTTCAGTACAGTGCATGGGTGAGAGCGGGAAAGGGATATGTAGGGGAGGCACGGAAGGGCGTCGGGGGCGATATATCTCGACACCCCTCCTCGAGCCTCTTGCCGAGGGCGCACGCGCAGCAGGGCAGGCGCTAGCCACGATGCCCAAAGCAAAACGCACACGCTCCGCGGCTCACGAGACGGCGCCTCCGCGACCTCAACCCGCGGCAGGCAGCGTCGGCGTGGACCGCACTCTCGACACTGTCCGTGTGGTGCAGCATGCGCACCCCCTGGCCCAGCACCCGAGCGCAGATCAGGCAACCGCTCCTCGTCACCAGCGGGTGATGCCGATCGCGCAGAGCCTGGCAGTTCGGACTCGAGTGGATCGAGGTCCCGACCGTGTCCAGGTGGAACAGCAGCACGCCCCTGCCACGCGGCTCCGACGGCTCCCGACATTGATCGCGGGGAGCGTCGGGTGCTGGAGGCGGATCGGGTTCTGGCTCCGATCTGCCCCTCTCCGAGCTCTCACTGGGCTGACCCTTGGAGCAGCCCTTGCCCGTCCGTCCTGCAGCTGACCTCGGGAGGTATAGGCACATGCACCAGCCGCACCAGCACAGCATCACGCCCACGAGCATGCAGAGGACCGACCAGACCACCACGATCGCCAGGTGTGGGTCGGGTCCGCCGTCGGGCGTGGCTGGCTGGGCCTTCACGCCGTTCACGAGGACCATGAACGTCGCCAGGTACCGTGCTCCTCGGGACGCGCTCAGGGCAGCCACGATGCCATTCCCGAGGGCGTCAATCGGGACCAGACCAAGCATGGTGCGGCACTTCTCGAGCGCACCCTTCCCCAGGAACTTCGTCCCAACGTCGGGGAGGTTCTCCGTGCCCTTTACCTTCGCGATCTTGATCTGGCCCGTACCGACCAGCTGCTGGAGCCATAGCCACTTCACCTCCAGATGTCGTAACCTGCCGAGTCCGCGCCGCGAGGCGATCGCGATGGCGGAGGACGCGTCGCACTCGATCTCCAGCGACGTGTCGAAGCCCATGAACTTGACGAGCTCCCTCACGTACAGCATCTCCGCCGCCAGCTCCACGGCCCCCAGGTACTCGGCCTCAGGGCTCGACTGGGCGAGCACTGACTCCGTGCGGGCGTAGGCACTGACGACCACCCCGCACCACCGCACGATCCCGCATGCTGTCGACTTGCGGGTCTCGTGGCATCCCGCCCAGTCCGAGTCGGTGCTACCTCGGATGCGCTTGTAGTCCTTCGTGGAGCGGTGAACCATGGCCAGGTCGACCGTCCCGCTGAGGTAGCGGAGGAGGTGCTTCAGGCACTTCATGTCGGCCACCCTCGGCTCGCTCAGCCGACGACCGAGCTCCTTCAGCGGGTACATCACGTCCAGCCTCCGCGGGATCGCGTACTGGATCTTCCCGCAGCACCTCCTGTACAGCGAGTGCTCCTCGCTGTTGAGCGGCTGCTCGGCTCCGGGCGGGGTGAGGTCTGGCCTGACCCCAGCCGTGCCCACAGGCCTGCAGCCCAGCATCCCCGCCGCGTCGAGGATGCTCTCGACGTACCCGGGCTTGCTCTTCTCCACGATCACGTCCCCGAACCTCTGCAGCGACGAGCCGAGGTAGATCACGGGGTTCTCGCCCAGGACGTACCGCCCCTTGATCGCGAGGTGCTTGGCCAGCTCGTCGAAGAACTCGTCGAGCACTCCCCGCGTGGGACCTGAGGCAAGAGGGTCGTCCGTGTGGACCACGACCCTGATGCCCTTCTCGATGTGATGGTATATAGTGGGCTCCGCCTTGCAGACCTTGAATCCAATCCCGACCACGATGCTCTCCAGGAACTCCTGGAATCGTAGCGCTGCCTCTCTGAGCCCATACAGAGACCTCTTCAGTCTCCACACGTATCCATGCCCCATGCCGTATTCGGGCGGCGTCTCCACGTAGATCTCGGTGCCGTCCTTCACGGGCGTGTGCATGAACGCCACGCTGAAGTCCGTTGTCACGATGACGTGCTTGAGCATCAGCGCCGCCGCCATCAGCACGCGCACAGCCTCCGTGCGCGGGGTGCAGGCGAAGAAATCCCCCGCCTGGGCGTCCCTGAACTGCTTCACGACGAACCTGCTGCGGACCCCCTCACCCTTCTTGCGGTGGCACCACCTCGTGCCCCAAACCTTCATGTCTCGGGGTCGCGCCACGACCTCACCGACGCCGAGGGACTCCATGAAGTTCGCCTCCCTCTTGATCCCCTCGCGGACGGCGTCGGGGTCGAGGCACTCACCGTCGTCGTCGTCGTAGTACGCCTCGCTCAGCAGCTCGAAGTTGGGGTCGAGCTCGCACGGCGTGCAGAGCTCGGTGTCGTCGGGGTAGCCCATCAAGTGGGCGACGGACACGCTGCCAACCTTCACCGTAGCAATTCTCCTCTCCTTGTGCGCCTCGCCTTCCGCAGGCGCCTCATCGCCGGCCCGCTTGCCAGCCGAGCTCTCAGGCTCCTCGACTGCTGCACGCTTCACCTCAGGTGCAGCTGCGCTCTCTGCCGCGGCCCGCTTGCCACGCGGCTCGTTAGGAGGCAACCCCCTCCTCTCGAGACAGAAGTTCGAATGACGGTACGATGTGCCCAAGCATCCACTACAGCCTGGGGTAAACTCTCTTGACATCGGGTCTGGAAGCACTCGTGTAACTGGTCGGCCCCTCGGCCTCTTCGTGACGGGCTGTGGTGCGTCCTCGACGTCGTCCATGGCCTCGTCGCCGTCGGCAGCTGCCTCGGCGCCCCCTGGGTCCCCCTCCTGCGGCTCCTCGAACCTCACCTCCCCCTCCTGGGGGCCTGCCTGCCCCTCCTCGGGCGCGGCGTCCGCTGGTCGCGGAAGCCTGGCGGGCTGCGGGAGGTTGAGGTCGGGGGCTGGTCTGTCTGCCACTGGCGTGGATGCATTCGGCGCCTTCGTGTCGCTCGGGATGCCCTTCATGGCCAGGAGCAGCTGCTTGTCGTAGCGCTCGCTCTCCACGAGCCTCCGTGCGGACCTCGCCACGACAATGCCGTGCCTGGTGCCGCAGATGTGGGAGTCGTCCTCCAACGACCGCCCGAGGTAGATGCCGTATCCCCACGCGGATTCGAACTTGGCGGCGATAGGCCCAGGTTGCCTCCACATAACCGTCTCGCCGAGTGGTAGGACCTTCTTGGCATAATGCCTCTCGTGCTGACGCTCGTAGGACGTCTTGTAGTCGGAGCGGTGGATGAGGAAGCGATCGTGGGTCCACGATGCGTGGCGCACGATCCAGGCCATCAGGGGATGCCTCAACTCGATCACGATACCGTACTTTGCCCCAATGGCTCTCCTCCAGGTCCTCGTCATACCCTCGATGAACGAGTGGAACCTCTCCACCATGCCGTTGCTCCCCTTGCTCGTCTTCGGCGTGTACCTGAAGGTCGCGTTGTTCCCGATGTCCCTCGCGACCTTGGCCGCCACGTCCTTGGCCGCATTCTCGGGGTCGCACTGGATGATAACCTTCTCAAACCCGAGCTTCTCCACGTACCGCTTGAGACACTTCAGGAGAAACAGGTCTCCCCCACCCTTCGCCTCGCACCATGCCGAGGACGTAGAGTGGTATACGTTGTCAATGGCATTCATGACTGGGTGCACTTTCTCGTCACGATGCGTCTTGCCGAACATGTAGTCGATCTGGATCACAGGCACACCCTCTACCTCTTTGATCCTCTCATGCCTGTCGTCCAGGCCTCGCCCCCCTACACAGTCCGCGCACCACGCTGCATATGGACAGTGGAGGGCCTCGTGAGCCTCCCTCTCGGCTCGTGTCGGCTCCCTTGGCGCCGTCATCACCGTAGCCTCGGGCCTGACTTCTTGCGCCGTCGGCTGGTCCACCTGCGCAGCGATGTACTCCTCGGGGACGCCCGTCGCCGTGTTGTAGACGACCAGGCCGTCCGCGCCGATCTTGGTGCCGACGTAGCTCATCACCGTCGCGCGCAGGAAGAACAGGCCGAGCCTCCTCTTCAGCCCAAGCCGCGATCGCCCGCTCCTCGAATCCCGCGTGATCGAGGGTGGGCCCGTCGAGCCTGGCGGTGGGAACTCCACCCCAGCTCCTGCCTTGTTGATGCTGTTGACACTCAGGATCGGTTGCGTCACCTCCGTGACGTGGAATATCACACTGATCTCGTCGTCATTCTGCGTCTTCAAGTTCACCTGCTTGTCGCCGTAGTGCTTCAGGGAGGCCCCGTTGGCGACCCTGATCTCCAGCCTCCTGTCCTGCATAGTGGGGTAGTCGGGGAAGTCGCTGGGCCCGCACACCGACTTGTTGGCGCCAGTGTCCACCATGATGTCAACCGTCTGGCCAACTCTTGTTCCGCTCGGGCCCTCAAGCGTGCCGACGGCGAAGATCCACGCAGCGCCCTCGCACTCGGAGCACTGGAGGGCGTTGGCACTGATGGAGGCGCTGGCGTCCTCGTGGGAGGAGGCCGCACCCTTCTCCTTCTCGTTGGTGGTGTCCCAGCTCGCCCACTTCTCGTCCCAGGTGTTGCCGTCCCAGCCACTGCCGTCCCAGGTGCTCACGTTGTGGATCTTGGCGTAGCAATCCTTCTGTTTGTGCCCCCACTTGCCGCATCGTCCGCAGTGTCCCTGGAACTTCTTTTCTCCGCCGGCGATGCCACCGCCGCTGTTCCTGTCCTTGCCCTTACCTCTGGTGTCGTTGCCTTTGCCCTTGCCTTTGCCTTTGGCCTTGCCGTATCCTCTTCCGCCCTTGCTGTTGATGGCGCCGATGTCCATCGGCGCAGGGCCACCAGGCATGGACTGCTTCGTGAGCAGGAAGTCTGCGGCCACCTTCTTGATCCTCGCCCACTGGATCTCCTCCTTGGGTGTCCCCAGCAGTACGTGGTTCCTCAAGGCCTCAGGGGCTCGTGCGATCAGGACCGCCGAGCGGATGTTGTCGCTGAGGGCCTCGCTCGCCAGCTTCTCGTACTCTTCGATCGAGATCTCGAACTTCGCCATGTTGTCGAGGAAATCCGCTTCTCCGCCAAAGTCGAACTCCAGCACCCTCATCAGTCTCGATAGAATGCTGCCCATGTTCTGAGGGTCATACTGGGAGCTCAGCCTGCGGTATGCCTCGAATCCGTCTTGGTTGCTGACCTTGCGGATGATGCCGAGCGGGGTGCCCTCCGTATACATCGTGAGCTGGTAGAACAACGACTGCGCCATCTGTCTCCACTCGTCGTCGTAGTTGGCGTAGTTCAGCTGGTTCTGGCTGTACTCGACCTGGGTCATTCCCTCTAAGCACTTCCGACTCTGGTTGCCGATGTACGCCTTGAACTTGAACGCCCAGTCATGGAAGTCTAGCTTCCTCGTGTTGTCGAAGGTCGGCGGCTTCCCTTTGTCTCCGATAATCGCGTTGGCGAAAGCCTTCGTCGACTGCTGCCGACTCGCTGCATCTGCGTCGGCTCGCTCCGTCTGGAGCCCTGTGATCGTCTGGTTCTGGTTCTCGACCGTCTCCATCAGTCGGCCGAGCTCTCGCTTCGTCTCCAATAGCTCCTGTGCGAGAGCCTCCACGCTCATCGCGGCCGTCAGCCGCCTCACAGGCGGGCAGGCTGATCTCCGTGGATCTGCGGGTCAGTGTCACCCGCGCTCCGCTGCCATCTTGACAGCAATAAACGATGCCGATCCGTTTCACTCTCAAATCCTCAGCGCCAAAACGGCTTCAGTACAGTGCATGGGTGAGAGCGGGAAAGGGATATGTAGGGGAGGCACGGAAGGGCGTCGGGGGCGATATATCTCGACACAACAGCTGGTCCAAGGACATGGTCGTCCATGGGAGATTTTCCCACCGACCCCCTTGGTATGATGGCGTGCCCAGTGAGAAAGAAGAGAAGACGAACCACCGGCATTGTCAGAAGTAGGCAAGCCAGAACGCCTCGCCACTGCTTGAATTCTTGTCAGCATCGAGCCGACAGATCGGGCCCAATCGGGAAGTGTGCATCGACTCGGACCGCATCGGCACGGCGCCGATCGAAATCGAGTCGGACTGGCGGCGCCATGCAAGCATCGGGCCGCATCGACTTGTCAGAGCATCGGAAACGAATCGGATAGAGCCGGCAAAAACCGATATCGAATCGGATCGCTGGGATCGAAATGGACCCCGTGGCAGTACGGGTACGGCAAATCCTGGTGATGACGCCTTGCACGTTGGTCTTTGACACGGCATGGATCGTCCAACCGTGAGCGAACGCAACTTTCTCGATGCCGATGTTGGGGACTGCAACACGTATCACGGCTCGTATTCGCGACGGCGGATTCGGGAAAGGCCCCGGGGAGGAAACCATGCCGACCGGTCGACCTGGCGCGCTCAGATGCGAGCGCAACCCACGCCACGTGCGCCTACGCGGGAACAATCGCAACTCCAAAATAGGATCGGTTGCGGGAGCGGGAGCGGGAGCGGCAGGAGGAGAAGGAGGAGACGAAAAAGTAGGAGGAGGATAAGGAGGAGGAGGCGGAGGAGGGGGATGGGGAGGAGGAGGAGGAGGAGGAGGAGGAGGAGGAGGAGGAGGAGGAGGAGGAGGAGGAGGAGGAGGAGGAGGAGGAGGAGGAAGGGGAGGAGGATTGTGTCAACCTCCTTTGGGCCAGTGAAGGGTCACTCTGGCGAAGGGTCACTGCCACGTGCAGCCGATTCACGCCCGCACAGGGACCGCCGCCACGCCGACACGACACGAGCCTCTGCCGTCGTCAGGGTTGGCAACTCCTTGGAGGTGTCTTCGTGGGCGAGACTTCGGCGGCAACTCGTGGGAGCCACCCGCACCGTATTGTCGGCTCTTCAGAATCGACGCTAATCGACGCCGACCGGTGCTAGTCGACGCGAATCGACGCTAAATCGACGAACATCGACGCCAATAAACGCTACATCGGCGCAATCTCATCTATGACCTGACGCGAATCCGCGCTAAAAGCGGAATTGGGAGGGCATGTGAGGCTCCCGAACCAGACAAGGCTGGATGGAACCAGATTCAGGAGGAGACCATGGACCCTACACTTAGGTCGGGCCTGTCCCCCATACAGAGGGACTTTGGACGAAAAATACAGGAAGTACTGAAAAAATATTCAAAATATGCCCAATGATACTCAAACATAGCCCCTGACTATTTTTCCCTACCTAGGCTCTGCCTAGAAGGGTTCTTACTCTCTAAGCTTAAAGGGGCCGGGCAGTGCAACACGCCCCGGGCGGCTCCCCCAGTCCCCTGGGAGCGGTTCCCCCCAGTCCCCTGGGAGCTTTAGCTTTAGCTTTAGCTTTAGCTTTAGCGTTAGCTTTAGCTTAGCTTTAGCTTAGCTGTAGCTTAGCTTTAGCTTAGCGTTTCGCTTAGCTTTTCGCTTAGCGTTTCGCTTAGCTTTTCGCTTAGCGTTTAGCTTAGCTTTAGCTTAGCTTTAGCTTAGCTTGAGCTTAGCTTTAGCTTAGCTTTAGCTTAGCTGTAGCTTAGCTTTAGCTTAGCTGTTGCTCAGCTTTAGTTTAGCTTTAGCTTAGCGTTAGCTTAGCTGTGGCTTAGCTTTAGCTTAGCTTTAGCTTAGCGTTACTGTTACTACTAATGCTGCTTTCCTAGGGGTTCCAACTCCTAGGTAGGGTCGCACTGGGATAATTTACTATTCTTGAATGTTCCCCCTGTAGAGGGACAGGCCCGACTTAACCCCACGCGGCGGCTCACGCGGGCCGCCAGCGTGGCACGGTACAGTGGAAGCGAGGGCGCTCGCGCGCGCCCTCCTGCGGGCAGCTCACGCGCCACTCCTTGTGACGGCGGTCCGCTGTTCTGCGCCGCTCCGGTGCCTGAACCGAGCAAGGCTGGGTGAAGCCAAGGGCTCTGACCCACCTGGGTGAAGCCAAGGGCTGCGTGGGTCAGAGACTGGGCAAGGTTCGACCCCAGGGGGGCACCAGTGCAGAGATGCTGCCCCAGGAGTGGCCCCAAGATCTGCCCTGGAGTGGCCACAAGATCTGCCCCAAGCCCAGGAGATTGCTGGACGATCGAAGTTCGAGAATTTAGGATTTGGGAGCTTCGCGCTCCTCTCTGGCCTCGCAGGAAGCTCCTCGTCGCCCCAACTAGATTCCCGCCAGAATTCTCGCCCGAACGCACCCCTCGACTAAGGACCTTGGAAGAACGACTGGTCCCCAGGGATGGAGCCAGCACGGGACGCCGTTTGGAACGAATCGAGACGTCGAAGGCCTGGGGCACCTGCCAGGACGAAGCCTTGGAGCGCTCGAAGCTACCTGCCAGCATGCCTCCCAGGAGTTGAATTCTGCCGGCTCTGGACCAAGGGTGCGCCAGTGCCGATGCCGAATTGAAACCTCCCAGGAGTTGCATCCCCAGCCGGGCTGGGGCGCCCAGCAATGGGCAATGAGTATCGTTTAACCGATCCCCATCCCGAGCGGCGTGGCCTGGACCCCACTGGCCGATTCACCTCCCAAGATGGGCATGCAGGCCGTTCCCTTCGGGCCTCGAGAGGTGCATCCCCGACTGGGGGGGGCAATTTGGTGGGGGCCTCGACGGGGCTGGGGACGGGGATGGGGATTGGCCAAACGATACTGCAGCGAGGCGCCCGGAGAACCTGGCGGTGCAGGCAGTGTTGGGCGCCCGAGTTATCCGGGGTAACTCGGGTCCGGGGCAACTCGGGTTCGGATTCCCGAAAAAGGAACCCGAGTTAGCCCTGACCCGAGTTACCCCTGATGATGTGGGGCTCTGGACGCCCAAATTATCCGGGGTAACTCGGGTCCGGGGTAACTCGGGTTCGGATTCCCGAAAAACGAACCCGAGTTAACCCTGACCCGAGTTACCCCTGATGATTCGGGGCTCTGACAGTGGGCGGCGGTTGCGAGGCACGAGGGCGGCACGGGGGGAGGACGCGCGGCCGCCCCCCCCGAGCACACGCCCGAGGGCCGCGGGAGTGCGCCGGCCCCGGCGCGAAGAGAGCGCCCTCGCCCTCGGCCCCTCGGTCGTTCTCGCGCCCCCGCCGCTCCCTCGGTTCGCTCTCGCGCGTTCTCCCCCGCTCCGCCTCGTGCTCGCCTCCTCCAGTCCACCCTGTCGGCCCTCCACTCGGCGCCACCCGAGCAAGGCATTGCGACCCTTACAACCTGCACCAGGTCTCGCGTTCTCCCTCGTGAGGCGAAGGGAAACAAGATGAGTCACTGTCGCTATCTCTCTCTCTCTGTCTTTTTTCTATTCCTCTACCTCTCGGTTTCTCTCCCTTTTGTTGCTCTCTCTCTCTCTCTCTCTCTACCGTCTTGTTCTCCCGCGCCGCCTCTGGACCTCTCGCCCTGTGTGTGTATGTTTGCTCCTCCCTGTCTCTACCTCTCTCCCTCCCATTCTATGAATGTCATATAGACAGAGCGAGCACATGGTTTGCTCTCACAAGGTCTCGCCCTGTCTCCTTCTCGAACGCTCGATACACAACGATGTACATACATTGATGTACACACGCGTGTGCATACAGTAGGAAATCCATCCAAGAAGGACCGCACAGGCCTGGCACATGACTGGCACATGCCGCGCACATGCGCGCACATGACAGCGCAAAAACGGCCGCACATACACCCACCCAGGGGTATAGATGTGAGTGCGGTGTATACATACACACTATACATACATGGATATGTTTAGATGCGTGTATCCGCAACCGCCCTTTCAACGCCTTGTGTGCGTACACGTCGGTCGGAAGAAGTAGGTAGAAACATGAAGTAGGAAGGCGGATATGGTGAATTGGGTCCAGGCCCTCCCAGAGAATAACAAAAACACAGCAAAAGCATGTCGACTCTTGAAGTAGGAAGGCGCTTGAAGTAGACTGGGATCTGGGAATCCAAAAATACCTACTTTCAACGACTGGCGTGTAAAGGCCTTCCGCTTTTTGCGAAGAACTCATCCGGCCCCTCCGACGCATCGGGATATAGATGTGCTCATCTGGGGGGCCAAGTCCTTGCGCGTTTGGTCTTCCAGGCATGCAAAATCAAATCCCAAATGCAAAGCGTAGGGGAAGGGGTTTTCGTGGCCCCTCCCACACCCCCACACCCCTCAAGGCTTCCACCCCGCCCGTCCGAGCGCGGTGGCGGAACCGCCGCGCGGCAGCGCAATTGGCCTATACAGACATATATATATATATATATATATATATATATATGGTCCAGGGTTTGGGCCCCCCCCCCCAATGCTGATGCCATTGGGCCCCCCCCCCCCGCGCGATGGTCCCCCCCGCCCCCCCCTGTGGGCGTGGCGTGGTGCTGCGCTGCGCCCCCCCCCCCCTGTGGATGTGGTGTGGTGCTGTGGTGGTTCAGAGGTGGGCGTGGCGTGGTGTTGCACTGCGGTGCCCCCCCCCCCCCCTGTGGATGTGGTGTGGTGCTGTGGTGGTTCAGAGGTCGTCGTCGTCGTCGTCGTCGTCGTCCTCGTCGTCCTCGTCGTCCTCGTCGTCCTCGTCGTCGTCGTCATCGTCGTCGTCGTCATCGTCGTCGTCGTCGTCGTCATCGTCGTCGTCGTCGTCGTCGTCGTCGTCGTCATCGTCGTCGTCGTCGTCGTCGTCGTCGTCGTCTCTGGGACCATACCATCTGGGGGGGGGGGCCCGAGGAATCCTGGGACCATACCATCTGGGGGGGGGGCCCACGGGCCCCTCGACCCTGGATCATATATATATATATATATATATGTGTTTGGACAGGTTTAGATGTGTATAATATATATAACTAGATGTATGTGATTGTCTACAGCCTTCTTTCTCTCTATCTTTCTATATTCCCACTTCCCTCTCTCCCCCTCCCCCCCGCCTCCTGCTCCCCCTATCCTCCTCCTGCGCCTCATCTTGCTCTTCATCCTCGCCTCCCCTCCCCATCTGTCCCCCCTACTCCTCCAGTCCCCCCTCTTCCTTCCGACTGCCCCCTCTCCGTCCTCGCCCTCCTCCTCCCCATCTGTTTCCCCCCTCCCCTCAGGCCTCCCCTGGTCCTGCTCGGCAGCTGAGTGCAGCCATTCTCGTGGCATGGGGGTGCACTCTCTCGTCTGAGTGCAGTCTCGATCCTCGATCCTCGAACATCGAGACTCGATACAAAGCCTCGATCCTCGAACCTCGATCCTCGAACCTCGATCCTCGAACCTCGATCCTCGATCCTCGATCCTCGATCCTCGATCCTCCGCCCCCGACCGAGGAGGAGCAAGCGCTGCACAAAGTGAGCCCCCTCGCCAGAAGGGGGGGCCGAGGCCTCAACCCACGAGGGGGCCCTGCGCCAGCGACCACCGCTCCAGGGTGGAGCACCCGAACACGAAAAACGGGAGGGCACAATCACCCCGTGTGATACAGTCGGGGCGTTGACTTAAGGAACGAAAAATAAGGAACGAGGCCCCCTTTTTCCCATACATTAAACTCCGATTTCCCATGGAAAACCTCAGGCAAACCCAAGGAGCACTGTAAAGCAACTAAGGAACACGGAGCCCCTCCCCAACAAAAAGGGTTCCTTCTTCAGGGCCCCGACTGTAAGGATGCGCGGTGAGGATGCAGGGCCCGCGCCGATCGGCAAAACAATGAACAAGAATTTGGACGCCCGAAATGGGTACGGAAAACATGGGCACAAGGCCCAACAGCAACTGTTGCCCCACACCAACAGCGGCCGCTGTTGGGCAGGCGGCCTTCTGTCCCGAATGGACACAGGCCGCGGCGGCGTGGACAGCGAGTCCTGCTCAAAATGAACAAGATCCGCTGTTGGGCATTGTACTCATTCTTTCCGTACCCAGTTCGGGCGTCCAGAAATCAATCCGTATAATAAGAATGCGCGGTGAGGATGCAGGGCCCGCGCCGATCGGCAAAGCAATGAGCAAGAACACGATCGCAACATGTTTTTGCTGTTCAAGGGGTTGGCTTCCCGGCGTCCTCCTCGTCCTCGAGGCGGCCTCCGGGCTCGGCCGGACGAACTGCCCCCCCTGACTACAGTCAACCCGTATGATAAGGATACGCGGTAAGGATGCGAGGGCCTTGGAGGGCCACGGCAGCGTGATTCGAACGAGGGCCGGTCAGCGAGGGTCGCTGAGGATGGGCCGAATGGGGCAGGGATGCGAGGGTATCCTGAGGAAGGTTGCCCATCCTTCCTCTGAGGGCCGACTCCATCCCTCCAAAGCGAGGCTGCTGTTGCCCCTCGTGCAAGCCGTACTCGCTCAGACATCCAGCTTTCTCGGGCTGGGCGAAAGGGGGGGATAGCAAAGGGGGGGTTTGAGAATCAGCTCACGTAGCTGATTTTCCTGGCGCCTCCCGGCGTCGGGAGGCGCCCGTGCATTGAGGAATGGGCCCAGCGGCGGGGCCGAAACCAGCTGCATGCAGCAAATTTCGTAACCCCCTCTTTCCCTATTCCAAATCCCTTATTAATCGTCCCCCGCATCCGGTCTTTTAAGGGGCGCCTTGTTGGTAACAAGGGGGGTCCGGTTTATTAGGGCGCTTTCTTTGCATTGGAGCTTGGGGGGTCCAGCTAATGTAGGCGCCCCGTCGAAGAGGGGGGTCCAGAATATCAGGTCGCATTTGGAGGGGGTCCAGTTTTTTTAGGGGGGGTCGATTAATAAGGGATTTTGAGTATCCCCCCCCCTTTCGTTCGGCCCGACCTTCGGAGCTCCGCGCGGCTTCCTCGGATCGGCGACGCTCCCCCCGTGGCCCTCTGACGGCGCGCTCCGCGCGCTAGGGCAGGGCAGGGGAGCCCCTGTCCCCCTACAGGGGGATTTTCAACGTTTTTTCTTGTTTTAACAAATCCACGAAAAAGACTAAAAAAAACCGTCCTCAGACTATTTTTTGAAAACTATTTTTGAACATTCCCCCTGTAGAGGGACACGCCCCACTTCAGCCCAGGCTGCCGACCCGAGCACTCCGACCCCCTCCCCGCGCGCGCGGTGCGCGCCAGGGGGCGGCGCCGGAGGCCAGTGGGGTCAAGCGCAGGTCAGATCGCGCGGCACCTTGGGCCCCAGTGTGCGACGGATCCACGTCGGGGTCACGTCGAATTCGCGTCGGATGCACGTCGGAGTGGCGTCGGACTTGCATCGGAGCATCGCCGCGCCAAGAGCGCCGTCCAAGATCTGACGGGGGCGGACGTGTGACCTGGAACAATTCATTGTTGCTCGCCGCGCGAGGCCTCTATGGCTTCCCTCATGGCGAGGAGGGGGATGGTGAGAGTCTAACTTCGCCTCGCATTCGCGAATCCGAATTCTGGTCATGCAGTTATCTCGTATTCGATGTTTACAAATCGTCCACAACCGCATCGAGGACACAACCTGGGGGATGTTTCGCGCATGCCAGACAATGCTTGGGAAAACGAAGCCAGCTTCGTACTGGTTACGGTCGATGTGACATCCCAGGATGGCCAAGTCGACAACAACCACAACCAACGTGCTCATGTCGAGGTCGGCGGATTACAGTCAACCAGTATAGTACGAGTGCGCACTAACAAGGATGCAAGAGCCTTGGACGCCCATTTCGAAGCTTTTCGAGCGGGGCGTGGCAAGCGAAAGCGGCGAAGGATGGACCAAGGATGCGAGGATGCAAGGGTACCCTTTGGAAGGTTGCCCATCCTTACTATTATGGTTGACTGTATTCCCCGAGGCACCCTCGTGAAACAACCACTCGGTTCTGGTTGTGGTTCTTTGCTGCCCCTGGAGATTATGGTCATGCAGTTTGTCCTTCTTCGATTTTGGCAGAAGCGTCCGCGGTGGCGGGGACGGGCGCGGCGGGCGGCGCACTGCCAGTTGCTCCTGCCGACGGCGGCCTTGTCGATGTTAAGCTTCAGCAGCGAAAAGACTCGGTCGATGCGCTCCTCAGCGGGGCGGCCAGAAGACGAGAGCGGAACATCCACCATCGCAATAAGCACTTAGACAAGCCGTTGGGTAAACGAAGCACAGGGCGGGGCTGTCTAGCAAACGCCCAGGGCCGCTATTACACGCCAAGTATCGGAGTCGGTGTGGTGCTTCCTCCCTTGAGGAGGGGGGGGAAGCACAGGTTGGCGGGGGCGCGCAAGTTGAGGCACAAGCTAACGTTTGCGACGAAAAGGAAAAAGTCTGGCGCAAGCTGGCACAGCGGCCTTGCGCCGCGGCTTACGCGGCCCGCCAGCGTGGTACACCACCTGGAGACGAGGGCGCTTGCGCGCGACCTCACGCGGGAAACTTACGCGGGAATGCCGGCGCTCACATGGAGCAGGGAGACGTGGATCTGGCGTGTGGGCGCCGGATACACAGATCGGGGCCCCCAAGACGGCCCATCAGGGTCCCGAGCAGCCCCAGTGTCACCAGTAGACCTCCCGAATGCTCCCCGGAGAACCAGGACCCACATTCTCGACACGCTCCAGACGTGGCACCCCGCGGGCCCAGATGGGACGCACAGAGACATACTAGTACTACGGGCATCCGCCTTGGAGGCGCGCGCCCGACCCGAGCATCCGCCTTGGAGGCGCGCGCCCGACCCGAGCACACAGTATACCCATCTTGTAGTAGATCATTCCCCGAGCGGTGTGAACCAAAAGCGCCCACAACGACGCACAGACTACAAGATTTCTCGGTGCGCGCGCCGCCCCCTGAGGGAGGGGCGGCGCACACATCGCAGGAGCATGCCGGGGCGACGCCGACCAGAGGGCTGCGCCGATCGGGGCAAAAACGGCCCCCCGAAACACGGCGCCGCGCTCGGCCCGAGCCGCGGCTCCGCGCGCCCCGACCCGTGGCTCGCGCTACCTCGAGCCCGGGAGCGGGGCGAGGGGGGGCGGCCGTCCGAGGGGGGTCCTTACGAGAGGCAGGGGGGCCTCCTCCCGGGACCCCCCCCCGAGCGTCCGAGACGGGATGCGGAAGGACGCGCCGGCACCGTGCACCCTCCTCGGAGGCGGGCGTCCGACCGAGGAGAAGGAGGAGGAGGAGGAAGCGGAGGAGGAAGAGGAGGAGCAGGAGGAGCAGGAGGAGCAGGAGGAGGAGGAGGAGAAGGAGCAAGAGGAGGAGCACGAGGAGGAGGAGCATGAGGAGCAGGAGGAGCGGTGAGGAATCCGGGGGTGCGCTCTGGGCTAGAGGCACCTCTAGCAACACCCGAAAAAGAGGGGGGGAGACACGTGCACCTCGCCTCCCTTTGGGCTCAATGGGGCCCCTTGAGGGCCTCGCCCGACTGTCACGGCACCTCCCGCCGACCGAAGCGACCATGCCTCGAGGAACGCGCTGGGATGCGGGGCCGAAGCCAGCTGCTGCAGCAGGTTTGAGGGGCAACGATCGAGGGAGTCTGGCATAGGGGAGAAAGCATCAACCTGGAACTTGCCGTCGCTCGGACGTCCATTTCCCGTGCATGTTTCGGTTTCGCGCGTGTTGTTGTCTTTTGCTCGATGGTCCAGGATGGTCCTCGATGGTTCTCGCCGAGAAAACATGCACACGTCCGAGCGATGCCAAGTGGAATCGGCGGTACATCGCCGATAGATTGGCGATAGTGTCGTCGTCAGCGTCGTCGGCGCTGTCGTCGCCCTCGTCGCCGCCGTCGTCGTCGTCATCGTCGTCATGGTCATCGTCATCGTCGCCGTCGTTTATTGCGACGGAGAATTGTACTGCAGCAGATTGCAACTCATGCGTTGCACGCGAGACTCCAGCAATACATTTGATTTGCGCCCAAGAACGTGCCCGAAGAATGTTGCAACCCACAGTTCTATTGCACCAAATCTCTTGCACCACCGCCTTGTAGCTCGAACCCCCGTGTTGGGCAACCAGACCGTCATTGTCCGCCCGCCCGTCGAATTCGTCTCCCTGATAGCCGTTGCCAGCCATCCGAGCGGGGGGGTGCAAGTGGGGGGTGGGTCTACTGCTTGTGCCCCTCTACTTCTCGTGCCCCTCCTGCTCGACATCCCTACAGTCTGGTGCCGAAGCGCCCAGCCCCAGAGGGGGGCCAGGTGGGAAGAGTGGAGGCGCGCTTCCCAAACATCATATTGTTTGTTTGTTGTCCATGCCTGGACCCCGAGGACCTCCGAAGCCCCCCGCCCTGTCCCCAGGGCTTGGTTCTCATTCCGAGTCAATCGACGCTCCCAGGCCCAGAGAGGGCCCCCGCAGGCCGGAAGCGCCCAACAAGTCCCGTTGTGATTTGTTCTCTCCTATCATTTGATACTGGAATTTGCAAGTCGCGACAGACGAGATCGGTCACTACCGATTTTGCTTCAAAGGCTTGTATGGGTCGCGACCGATGTGTTTCAAAATCGGTCGCGACCGATCGGCCGAGATCGGTCGCCACGGGTCGCCACCAACTTTGGCTTCAAGCGCGATCAGTCACGACCGACTTGGACTGCCGATCGGTCGCTGCCAATCGCCAGGAAAATCCCGTATCCGATGATCTGGGAACGCAGATCCGACCCGTGCCCGGCCGCGACCGCCCCCGCCGCCGATTGGCACACCCGAAGTGGGTACTGTGGAGGCCCGACCACAAGAAACCTCCCACAAGAAACCCAACCCTGAGACCCCAGGACGTCCAGTGAAATTTGGTGTGGGAACTCCACTCTTTCCATCGCGAAACCATCAAAACCCAAGAAACCTGGGGCACCCTGGAGGCAAGCAAAGTGTTTCTTGGCATGGGCCTCCACTGTACGGAAAACGCGGGCACGACCTGGCAGCCAACGTGGTCCCGAGCCCGCAGCGGCCGCTGTTGGGCAGGCGACCTCTGGTCTCGAATGGACAACGTCGGCGGCGAGGCCGACAGCGAGCGCTGCGCAGAATGGGCAGGAACCGAGCTAATGCCAATATACCTGCAACCATTGTTTGAGGTGCCCAGGGATACACAAATGAATAGACACGAATCCCAGGATCCCAAATTTTTCGTATATACAAATAGACATGCATATGCATATAGATGTGTGTAAATGTACATATTCTGGAATTTAGCCTTCCCCCCCTTCCCAGAAGTTCCTATATGTTGGAAGGATCGACGATTGATTGTGTCTGTGTGTTTTTTCCCTCCTGAATTCTACGTGATGGCCGTAGGTTCAACGAATTCTTAATCTTTGGGGTAATTCGATTATGTTTTCGATCTCCTACGCCTGGATGTTCGTCTGCCCCTCCACGTCCCAAAGTTCCCATATTTTCTGCGGAATCTACGATTACTTGTGGCAGCGTGTTTTCCATCCTTCGGTAGCAACTCACGGGAGTCTCCCATACCATCTTGTCGGCTCTTGCGAATCGACGTTCGTCGACGCGAAATCGACGCTCGTCGACGCTAAATCGACGCTAACCGACGATAAATCGGCACATCTCATCGACTCCCAGACGGTAACAGGCGCCAAACATGGCATTGAGAGGGTGCAGCAGGCTCCCCTAATCTGCTAACGGACATGGCTGCGAGCTTTCCTTCCGGAGCTCGACCCTGAGTCGACCCAGAGCAGGGCTGAACCTAAACGGTGTTCGTTTTCGTTTTGTTTTCTTTTTCCCTCGCTTTTGTCTCGAATCCGCCTCTACTGCAGAACGAAGTCGAACCGAAAACGGCCCACGGAATCGCCAAAAACACCGCTTAGGTCCAGCCCTGACCCAGAATTCGATGAAAGTTGCCCCTCCTGCGCTCGACCCAGTTCGACCGAGCCGATGGTCGGGTCGGGCGACAGGGGGGGATAGCAAAGGGGGGCTTGAGAATCAGCTCGCGTAGCTGACTTTCCCGGCGCCTCCCGGCGCCGGAGGCGGCCATGCATCGAGGACTGGGCCCCTCGGTGAGGCCGAAACCAGCTGCATGCAGCAGATTTCGCAGCCCCCCCTTTTCGGGAGCGGCCAAGAGGGGGGTGTCCAAGAGGGGGGGGTGCAAATCATGACCGGCGGCATGTGCGCGGCCCAGCGGGGGGGACAGGTACGTAATGAAATAAGAAGAGGCGCCATGAAATCTGGGGAAATATCATGACCCCCGCCATGATATCCACCCCCCCTAGTCATCACCCCCCTCTTTTCCACCCCCGACTTTCCCAATCCCCCCCTTTCGTCCAGCCCGGGAGGGGCGGCGGCTCCTTGGTGCGCTCCTCCGGACCTCCGCGGCCGGGCGGCCGCCGCGCGCGCGCGCGCCTCGAGGCGCGACGGGCCGCGGGCCGCCCCGAGGCGCGCGGGAGCGCCCCAGAGGGGGGCAACGCCCGGGGTGGTCTGGCCAGCCTCCCCCTCCTCCTCATCCTCGCCCTCCTCTTCCTCCTCCTGTTCCTCCTCCTCCTCCAACTCCTCCTCTTCTTTTTATTACCAGTAATCATACCTATACGACCACCCTACGGGTGATAAGGAGGTTGGGGGGGGTGGAGGGGCCGAGCAATGGGCAACAGTGGTGATTGTTCTCCTGACGATGCCAGTGGAGAACCTGAGAAAAGAACTCATTCGCTGTCTCATTCGGTCTCACTACCGATCTCACAATCGATATCACTATCGACGTCATCATCATCATCATCATCATCATCAACATCAACATCATCATCATCATCATCAGCATCATCATCATCATCATCATCATCATCATCATCATCATCATCATCATCATCATCATCATCGCCATCATCAACATCATCTCATCATCATCATTACCATCATCATCATAATCATCATCATAATCATCATCAACATCATCATCGGGACACCGACGGGACACCGACGGGACATCGGCGGGACACCGGCGGGACACCGCGCGCCACCGGCCGCCCGGCGGAGAATCATTTGGTCCGGCCGCGCCTCAGCCACAGGAGACTTTCCTCTCGCCCGCCCACGCAGCTTCGCCTCGCCCGCACGGCACGCACGAACACGAAACCGACTTCGATTTCCCGGTAGGGGGTCTCTCCGTTCCACTTCGATCTCACCC